CCTGGAAATCCGGGAAGGGAGCAGGGCACCTCAAGATGACCCAGATTCCACAACAAACTACACCACTCCCGAGGAACTCCACGGAGCAGGCTAAACCCCAGCACACTTCCCCCTACCTAGAAACTGTAATGCCAGAAGGGAGGACCCTAGAGGCTATAAACAGGATGCTGTATAGCCCTTGTGGCTTAGCGCTTCTTTTTGATTATAATAATAATATACACAGGATGGGGAAAAGGGAAGGATGGGAGAGAGAAGTAAAGGGAAAGGGGGGGAGGGGGGTAATTAGGTTCAGTCTGAGGAAGGAGACCAAAAGGTCTAATTCCTCAGACCAAGACTCTCTTCACCATGCCAAGGATCTCCCCTCGAAGAAGTCTGTAAATAAAATTAGAAAAGCATGCAAGTTACTGTAGGCATAACTCTCTGGCCCACTATCAATTCTGGATGAAATGAAACCAGTGTTTTCTAATTTCCAAAAAAAAAAAAAAAAAAAAAAAGATTATAATTTTAACCCTTAAACTGTCCAAACGTAGATCTACTTTTGCACCGCTAGCACTCCAAACGTAGATCTACGTTTTATTTTTCCTGCCTCCAAATTTGGCATGATTGGCCTGAGATGCCTGGTCAGTATAGAATGAGTCTTAACACTCAGTGTGTGCAGTATTAAAAAAATCTGGGACCACTTAGTACCTTGTGGGAGCACCAGCAAAATTGAGCACCAGCTAGAGCAAATAGTGTGGCAAACACCTAGGATTCACTGATGTCATGTCATATTAACACTCCCCTTGTAAGAGGAAAGTTATGGATGTGGCCACAAGTGATCGAGGAAATATCAAAAACCTCTACAATAACCCATGTGTAACATTTGTGCAACATCCTTTCATTTTTGATACCACTGGCTGTGTCTGTCTGTATCTATCTTTCTATATCTCTGTCTACCTGTCTATATCTCTGTCACATGTACACAGAAGTACAGTTATACATAGTGTAAATTACCTAGGGTAACCCAAAAATTCCAGGCAAAGTGCTATACAGTGCTTGTAGATAGAAGACATAATATCCATGACTGGCAACTAGTACGCAAGTAATATGCATTTTTACTTCATCAGGAAGCAGACATAACTACTGCATCGTGTGTAATACCTGTTGGTTTACAAGCCGCTCTCTAAGACTGAGAGACAAGCAGACAGAAAGACACACACACAGGAAGATAGAAAGACCGAGACACACAGGTAAACAGAACAACACACACACAGGTGGACAGAATGACACACACACATAGGCAGACAGAAAGATCGAGACACACAGGCAGACAGAAAGATCGAGACACACAGGCAGACAAACAGAAGACAGACGAACAGACAAACATGTTTGTGTAACAGTGTAAACAAATAGAGCTAGGGTTCCCTGCAGCAGGGCACTATCATTGTGTCACTCCACTGCTTACCCTGTCAGCAGTTTAGCGACACTCGTCATAAACACCATGCTTCAAGAAGTTTCATATATACTCCAGCATGTCTAAAACATTGCCGAGACCTATAAATACTTTGTATATATTTCTAGACAATAGTGAATGACCAAGGCAGGTGAAAATGTACACCTGCTTTTGTGATTGTGACTATTTGAGTACTATTTCAGTACCTAATATTAGTGTCAACAAAGATTGGCTATGAAATACCAGTCCTAAAAAATTTTTTTTTAGTCTTATAATACAGAAAATTGCCCTCTTTAATTTAAAAAAAAAAATTATTTTTCAAAATATTCGGAGCACTGGCAGTGAAAACGTAGGTCTACGTTTAGACAGTTTAAGGGTTAATTTTTTTTTTATTAACACATCAGCCGATTCCTACCAAGGCAGGGTGGCCCAAAAAAGAAAAACTTTCATCATCACTCCATCACTGTCTTGCTAGAGGGGTGCTTTACACTACAGTTATAAAATTGCAACATTAACACCCCTCCTTCAGAGTGTAGACACTGTTCTTCCCATCTCCAGGATTCAAGTCCGGCCTGCCGGTTTCCCTGAATCCCTTCCTAAATGTTACTTTGCTCACACTCCAACAGCACATCAAGTATTAAAAACCATCTCCTATCAAATACGCTCATGCACACTTGCTGGAAGTCCAAGCCCCTCGCACACAAAACCTCCTTTACCCCCTCCCTCCAACCCTTCCCGGGCTGACCCCTACCCCACCTTCCCTCCACTACAGATTTATACACTCGAAATCATTTTGTTTTTCTGTTTTCTTCCATTCTCTCTAAATGTCCGAACCACCTCAACAACCCCTCCTCAGCCCTCTGGATAATAGTTTTGGTAATCACACACCTTCTCCTAATTTCCAAACTACGAATTCTTTGCATTATATTCACACCATACATTGCCCTCAGACATGACATCTCCACTGCCTCCAGCCTTTTCCTCATTGCAACATTCATCACTTGTGCTGCACACCCATACAAGTGTGTTGGTACAACTATGCTCTCATACATTTCCCTCTTTGCTTCCACAGACAAAGTTCTTTGTCTCCACAGACTCCTAAGTGCACCACTCACCCTTTTCCCCTCATCAATTCTGTGATTCACCTCATCCTTCATAGACCCATCTGCTGACACGTCCACTCCTAAATATCTGAATACATTCACCTCCATACTCCCTCCCTCCCTCCAACCTGATATCCAATCTTTCGTCACCTAATCTTTTCATCCTCGTAACCTTACTCTTTTCTATATTCACTTTTAATTTTCTTCTTTTACATATCCTACTAAATTCATCCACCAACCTCTGCAACTTCTCTTCAGAATCTCCCAAAAGCACCGTGTCATCAGCAAAGAGCAACTGTGACAACTCCCACTTTGTGTTTGATTCTTTATCTTTTAACTCCACACCTCTTGCCAAGCCCCTAGCATTCACTTCTCTTACAACCCCATCTATAAATATACTGAACAACCAAGGTGACATCACACATCCTTGTCTAAGGCCTACTTTTACTGGGAAATAATCTCTCTCTCTCTCTCTCTCTTACATACTCCAACCTGAGCCTCGCTATCCTTGTAAAATCTCTTCACTGCTTTCAGTAACCTACCTCCTATACCATACACCTGCAACTTCTGCCATATTGCCCCCCTATCCACCCTGTCATATGCCTTTTCCAAATCCATAAATGCCACAAGAACCTCTTTACCCTTATCTAAATACTGTTCACCTATATGTTTCACTGTAAACACTTGGTCTACACACCCCCTACCTTTCCTAAAGCCGCCTTGTTCATCTGCTATCCTACTCTCTGTCTTAATTCTTTCAATAATAACTCTACCATACACTTTACCAGGTATACATTATTGTCTTGTAAATTATTTATGAGAAGTTAAGCATAAGACCTAGGATCAACTAAATTTTCACAACTCATTTGTGCATCAGGTTCAGCACTTTTTTTTTTTTTTTTTTTTTTTTTTTCAACAAGTCGGTCGTCTCCCACCGAGGCAGGGTGACCCAAAAAAAAGAAAGAAAATCCCCAAAAAGAAAATACTTTCATCATCATTCAACACTTTCACCACACTCACACATTATCACTGCTTTTGCAGAGGTGCTCAGAATATAACAGTTTAGAAGCATATACGTATAGAGATACACAACATATCCCTCCAAACTGCCAATATCCCAAACCCCTCCTTTAAAGTGCAGGCATTGTACTTCCCATTTCCAGGACTCAAGTCCGATTATATGAAAATAACCGGTTTCCCTGAATCCCTTCACTAAATATTACCCTGCTCACACTCCAACAGATCGTCAGGTCCCAAGTATCATTCGTCTCCATTCACTCCTATCTAACACGCTCATGCACGCTTGCTGGAAGTCCAAGCCCCTCACCCACAAAACCTCCTTTACCCCCTCTTTCCAACCCTTTCGAGGACGACCCCTACCCCTCTTTCCTTCCCCTATAGATTTATATGCTTTCCATGTCATTCTACTTTGATCCATTCTCTCTAAATGACCAAACCACCTCAACAACCCCTCTTCTGCCCTCTGACTAATGCTTTTATTAACTCCACACCTTCTCCTAATTTCCACACTCCGAATTTTCTGCATAATATTTACACCACACATTGCCCTTAGACAGGACATCTCCACTGCCTCCAACCGTCTCCTCGTTGCTTTATTATAATTGTATAAATAAATCAGACTTTGGAATCAATGAATCCTCTTAAAAAATGGTCAGGATAAAGTCGACGAACCTTGGTAAAAGATGGCATCAAATACCAACAAGTATGTCAATAAGATACGTGAAGGTATGTTCAAACAACCTATTACTGTACATGACTTATTTATATAAAGGGAAAGCCTCTGAACAGTTATATAAATTTCATATCTAACAAATCTATAAAAATGTAATGCTATTTTCCATACTGGAGACCATGCCATGGAACATGACTTGGTAAGAGGGAAAAGGAATGACAAGGGGAGCAGTTCCCTCCTCTTGGATCAAGTCTAAGATAAACACTATTATACTGCAAGTGAGCTTGCCTAACCCCTTGCCCCCTCATCACCATATCCCTCTTTCCTGGAAAAGTCTCAGAATATGCCCATGATTTATGCTGTAGCATATTCATATTGTAGGTCACATTTGCTGTAAGATATACTATATTAAAAGTTCCATTTAAAGTGACAAAAACAGTGGTAAAAAAAAAAAAAAAAAAAAAAAAAAAAAATAAAGTACAGCACTAGTACATTATTAGGATGTTCCTTCAGAGCAAAACAATTCCAGTCCTCAAGAGAGTTTAAATTATTATTATTATTATAATCAAGGGGGACCCCTCAAGGAAGGTTCCTTGATGTTGGTGAGGGGCTCTTGATTTAGGGAATTGGATCTGTGCTCCAGTTCCCCGAATTAAGCCTGAATGCCTTCCACATATCCCCCCCGCAGGCGCTGTATAATCCTCCGGGTTTAGCGCTTCCCCCTTGATTATAATAATAATAATAATCAAGGGGGAAGCGCTAAACCCGGAGGATTATACAGCGCCTGGGGGGGGGGGGATGTGGAAGGCATTCAGGCTTAATTCGGGGAACTGGAGCACAGATCCAATTCCCTAAATCAAGAGCCCCTCACCAACATCAAGGAACCTTCCTTGAGGGGAAGAGAGTTTAAAATAGTGCTTTCTCTAATTACAATACTATATTAATTACACATTCTATATTTTCACTTAGTGTTTCTTTTTGATTATAATAATAATAATCTACATTTTCACATTGATATAGAGTACCTTAGTAAACAGCACATGAAAGTAACAAAGTAATTACACAAAATTAACTTACCATTCATCACTGCTTTGTGATGACCCTCTATTTTCTGATTTTTGACAGTTACCACTAATATATTTTATCTGCTTTATAGAGGAATGAATTATATCCTTAAAGATTTTTTTTTCTGTTGATGCTGGCACTGAACTATATTCCTCACATTACCGCTAAGGAAAAATACATTACACTAATTGCCAATCTCTATACAGTGCTTTAGTAATATTATTGACAAAAGCCTCCTTGGGTTACTTTTGTTATAGCAGTTTTACCTCAATACAGTAATAATGGTTAGTAGGCACTGAATAATGAGAGTCTAAATTATGGAAGTCTTTTTCATAATTAAAATACATCTGATCATTTACAATTACAGGTTATTTATTTATTATTGACTAAACTTCTAGAGGACATCAAGATGAAAGAATACCATCAATAAAAGCTGGAGAAGTAAAGGAACAAGTGGTGCCAATCTTAATATCAGTTGTACGTAGGACGAAATTCTGCCGATGACCTTTCAACTTCGCCCATGAAACTTTTACAGTCAAGTCTTTTGCATTATGTATTAGGAGTGACAGGAGTTATAAGTTGACCTGACTGGATGTACCATCTCCAGCCAGGACAGTCACCTGCATTTCTTTGGAGTCACTTTGTTCCTCATTTTCAGCAGCAAATATAACAATGTAACTGTCTTCTCCCATTTTCTCTTCAGTTCCTACTAATGATATGAATGGTGTAGTAACAGTCTCAGTTTCCCCTTCTTTTTCTATATTTGTACTTTCGCTACTGGAACCCAGTAAAAATTCCAGCTTGTGGCAGTCTATAATATGGTTTTCAATAGTTGATCGTCTCATGAAACCTTCTCCACACAACTGTATGAATGAAAGAACAACATTAAAATAAGGAAAGCAAAAATTTTCAGATTAAAAAATTGCTTTGACGTATATACAAGATTCAATACAACCATATGCCTTAACACATATACAACCATATACCCGAACATACGCATGGTAAAAAAATACAATATTGTATTAAAAATTATAAAAACCATTCAAACCAAGAACACAACAAAAACATACTACCAAACTTTTTTTTTTTTTTTAACGTCGGCAGTCTCCCACCGAGGCAGGGTGACCCAAAAGGAAAGAAAATCCCCAAAAAGAAAATAATATCCCAAACCCCTCCTTTAAAGTGCAGGCATTGTACTTCCCATTTCCAGGACTCAAGTCCGGCTATATAAAAATAACCGGTTTTCCTGAATCCCTTCACTAAACATTACGCTGCTCACACTCCAACAGCTTGTCATGTCTCAAATACCATTCGTCTCCATTCACTCCTATCTAACACGCTCATGCATGCTTGCTGGAAATCCAAGCCCCTCACTCACAAAACCTCCTTTACCCTCTCCCTCCAACCTTTTCAAGGATGACCCTTACCCTGCCTTCCTTTCCCTACAGATTTATACACTCTCCATGTCATTCTACTTTGATCCATTCTCTCTTAATGACCAAACCACCTCAACCCCTCATCAGCCCTCTGACTAATACTTTTATTACCTCCACACCTTCTCCTAATTTTCACACTCCGAATTTTCTGCATAATATTCACACCACACATTGCCCTTAGACAGGACATCTCCACTGCCTCCAACTATCTCCTCGCTGCAGCATTTACAACCCAAGCTTCACACCCATATAAGAGTGTTGGTACCACTATACCTTCACACATTCCCTTCTTTGCCTCCATAGATAACATTTTTTGTCTCGACATATACGTCAACGCACCACTCGCCTTTTTTCCTTCATCAATTCTATGATTAACCTCATCCTTCATAAATCCATCCGCTGACATGTCAATTCCCAAATATCTGAAAACATTCACTTCTTCCATACTCCTCTCCAATCTGATATCCAATTTTTCTTTATCTAAATCATTTGATACCCTCATCACCTTACTCTTTTCTATGTTCACTTTCAACTTTCTACCTTTACACACACTCCCAAACTCTTCCACTAACCTTTGCAAATTTTCTATAGAATCTCCCATAAGCACAGTATCATCAGCAAAAAGTAACTGTGTCAATTCCCATTTTGTATTTGATTCCCTATAATTTAATCCCACCCCTCTCCCGAACACCCTAGCATTTACTTCTTTTACAACCCCATCTATAAATATATTAAACAACCATGGTGACATTACACATCCCTGTCTAAGACCTACTTTTATTGGGAAGTAGTCTCCCTCTCTTCTACACACCCTAACCTGAGCCTCACTATCCTCATAAAAACTCTTTACAGCACTCAGTAACTTATTACCTATTCCATATACAGTGGACCCCCGCTTAACGATCACCTCCTAATGTGACCAATTATGTAAGTGTATTTATATAAGTGCATTTGTACGTGTATGTTTGGGGGTCTGAAATGGACTAATCTACTTCACAATATTCCTTATGGGAACAAATTCGGTCAGTACTGGCACCTGAACATACTTCTGGAATGAAAAAATATCGTTAATCGGGGGTCCACTGTACTTGCAACATCTGCCACATTGCTCCCCTATCCACTATCATATGCCTTATCTAAATACTGTTCACATATATGCTTCAACATAAACACTTGATCTACACATCCCCTACCCACTCTAAAACCTCCTTGCTCATCTGCAATCCTACATTCTGTCTTACCTCTAATGGGATCAATAAGAAAATTAATTAAAAAAAAAAATCTTCAAATATTCCTAAGGTGCCCTGTTAATTCTGACAGCATAACAATGCCTTAAAGATTTAACAAATGATGAAAAAATCCTACTATATACACTAAATAAAAAGTTGCTAAATTCTAACCACTCAAAACATACCATCACATTTAGGTGACTTAGTATCAGGGTAGATAACTACAATAACTCAGCATTTTACCAAGTTTGTATTAATAACTTCATTTGTGTATGACCCTTGTGGGTTGATTGCTTAGTTATGATTATAACAGCTTCATTCTGAATACTGAAAGATGCATTCCTCCAACAGGGGAAAGGAGGCCCCAAGTTGGAATTATATCACATTGCCTCCTGCTTAATTCCTCAAGGAAGGGTCCCTTGATGCTGGTGGGAGGGGGGGATGCCTCTTGAATCAAGGAATCAGACCTCCCCTCCTTTTCACTGGACTTAGCTTGAGTGCCTCTCATTCACTCCATGTACTGTGTGATCTCTGCAAGTTTAACTCTCCACCTATGAATTATGAATGCAAAATAATCCTTCCCTAACCTTCCTAGCCCTGATACGGTCTAAAGTGCTTAGGACCCCAAGATTCCACAGCAGAAAAACTGCTTTAGTACAAAATTTAAAAGTTTACAGTAATACATATTAAAATACATCATTACAAAATACATCATGCCAAATTTGCCGATACTGATATGTAGTCAATTTTAAGCTGATACACACTGATACCAAAGCCAATACTTTAGCACACCCCTAATTATTACTGCCAATTTAAATATGGCAGCCTGAATTTAATGCTTACCTCACATCTGTACTTCTTGTTTGTGGAATGGGTATACATATGAGTCCGAAGATTGTTCTTCTTGCTAAAAGCACGATTACATATTTGGCATATAAATGGTTTCTCACCTGTATGTACTTTATTATGTTCATCCAGTTTGGGCTTACTGATAAACGATTTTTTGCATACATCACAAGAATAATCCCTTATATTATAATGAGCATATTGCACATGTTTGTGCACTGAGGAACTTGTTGAAAATTTTGCTTGGCAGATATAACATTTATAAGGCTTTTCTCCAGTATGAGTTCTTTCATGATTTTTCCAAGTGCTGTATTGTTTGAACCACTTTGTACAGTAATTACATCCATAAGGCTTCTGATTAGTATGTACACGCATGTGAGTCCAAAGGTAAGACTTTCGATTAAACTGTTTGCCACACACTTCACATGATGCTTTTGTTTCTCCCATGTGACTTTTCATGTGCAGTACAAAGTTTCTTTTGTCTGTAAGTAGTTTACCACAAATTTCACAGAAGAACTGCTCATTTTTGCTCGCGTGCACAGAGCGCATGTGTAACTGAAGATATCTTGATAACTGAAAGTATAGGAATGAGAATAAAGAAATTACCACTACTGCAAACAATTAACAAGTTATAGGAATGGAAAAAGGCAATTAAAAGTACACATAAAAATTTAACATTATTCTTAGATACTTTTAACACCAGCCATCTCCACTAAGGTAGAATGACTCAAAACAAAAATGATATATATTCACCATTCAAATAGTCATCCAAACTACAACAAAGTCATTTATGTTGGGGTTTTACAGGTACACCGCAGCTCACATTGTATTGAGCAATATTGACCCACAGTCAGCACCTCTCCATCTCCAAACAATCTACCATGCTACTGGGAGAAGGGCTTATATAGCACTAGCCATCATATCCTTTAAACAACACTAACAACCTCCCATGCCAGTTTGTTACAATGCAACTATATTTTCTTTGTTATTAGTTTCTCAAATACATTAATTTTTACTATGTTTTTACATTCGGTAGGTTGGTAGACAGCAACCACCCAGGGAGGTTGAGTGTTGTAAGGTCAACTAAAATGCTGGGAGCAAAGGGCTAGTAACCCTTTTTCCATACAACTTACTAAAAAGAAAAAGAAGAAAGCCCTCAATGTGGGATGTTTGAGTGTGAGTGGATGTAGTGCGAATGATAACAGATGATTGTAGATGTTATGAATGAAAAGAAGTTGGATGTCCTGGCTCTAAGTGAAACAAAGCTGAAGAGGGTAGGAGAGTTTCAGTGGGAAGAAAAAATGGGATTAGGTCAGGGGTTTCAAATAAAGTTAGCTAAGGAAGGAGTAGCAATAATGTTAAAGGATAAATTATGGCAGGAAAATAGAGATCAATGTATAAATTCAAGGATTATGTGGAGTAAAATAAGGGTTGGATGTGAAAAGTGAATTACAGTAAGTGCTTATGCACGTGGAGAAGAGAGAAGTGTAGAGGAGAGAGAGATTTTGGGAAATATTGAGTGAGTGCATGGGAGTTTTGAACCAAGTGAGAAAATAATTGTGGTTAGGGATCTCAATGCTAAAGTGGGTAAAAATATTGTGGAAGGAGTAGTAGGTAAATTTGGGGTACCAGGGGTTTATGAAAATGAGAAGCCTTTGACTGAACTATATGTAGAAAGAGGTTTGGTAATAGGTAACACATATTTTATGAAAAAAACAGAGGATAAACTTGATATGATATAGCACATAATGAAAGCAGTTTGTTAGATTATGTATTGGTGGATAAAAGGTTGATGGGTAGGCTTCAGGATGTGTATGTTTATAGATGGGCAACGGATATGTCGGATCATTTATTTGTAGCTACAGTTATAGTAAGAGGTAGTTGGGACGAAAGAAAATGGCAACAGCAAGTAAGAGGTGAAATTTATAAACAAAGGGAGGAGGAAGTTAGGTTGAAATATAAGCAACTATTGGCAGAAAAGTAGGTTAGTGCAAGTATGGGTAGTGGGGGGGGAGGTGGGGGGTTGAAGAAGGATGGAATAGTTTTAAAAATGCAGTATTAGAATGTGGGGGGGGGGAGAAATTTGTGACTATAGGAGGGTGGGTCGCAGGAGAAAAGAGGGAGTGATTGGTGGAATGATGACGTATAGGGTGTGATAAAAGAGAAGAAGGTAGCTTATGAGAAGTTTTTACAAAGCAGAAGTGATACAAGAAAGCAGAGTATATGGAGAGTAAAAGAGAGGTGAAGAAAGTGGTGAGAGAGTGCAAAAGGAGAACAAATGATAGAGTGGGATAGGCACTGTCAACATATTTTGCTGAGAATAAGAAAAAAATTTGGAGCGAGATAAACAGGTTAAGAAAGCCTAGGGAATAAATCAGTTTGTCAGCTAAAAACAGAGTAGGGGAGTTAGTGGATGGGGAGCTGGAGGTATTGGGTAGATGACAGGAATATTTTGAAGAACTTTTAAGTACCTATGGTATTTGTGCATGGGGTTCAACCACAGCAAGTCACCTTAAACCTTTAATTATCCAATAGAAAGCTGTTGTGAGAATGGCTACAAACTCCTGCACCAGGCAACACACCCCACTGCTATTTAAGAGCTTGAACCTGCTTAACATACAAAATCTTTCAAAAAAAAAAAAAAAAAAAAAAATGAAAAAAAAAAAAAAGGCCGTATCCCACCAAGGCAGGGTGGCCCAAAAAGAAAAACAAAAGTTTTTCTTTTTAAATTTAGTAATTTGTATAGGAGAAGGGGTTACTTAGTTACCTCTTACAACATGCATGGCTTACAGAGGAAGAATTCTGTTCCACTTCCCCATGGAGATAAGAGGAAATAAACAAGAACAAGCACTAGAAAGAAAATAGAAGAAAACCCAGAGGGGTGTGTGTCTATATATGTGCCACCCTGCCTTGGTGGGAATCGGCCAGTGTGATAATAAAAAAAAAAAAAAACATGCATGTGTAGTGTGACCTAAGTATAAGAAGTAGCAAGACGTACCTGAAATCTTGCATGTTTATGAGACAGAAAAAAGACACCAGCAATCCTACTATCATGTAAAACAATTACAGGTTTCAACATACAAAATATCCACTCATTATTGTGCCTACTACAAACACAGAACATTCTTCTTTCTTTCAACACACCGGCCGTACCCCACCGAGGCAGGGTGGCCCAAAAGAAAAAACGAAAGTTTCTCCTTTTACATTTAGTAATATATACAGGAGAAGGGGTTACTAGCCCCTTGTTCCTGGCATTTTAGTCGCCTCTTACAACACGCATGGCTTACGGAGGAAGAATTCTGTTCCACTTCCCCATGGAGGACACAGAACATTATTCTCTAATATTAACCTTCCTCTCAAACTCCTTCTTGAGAACTACAACAGAATGCACTTGCATAACACAAGACACAAAACACTCTTTGATATCCCTCATGTCCCTCTCTCCCTATGCAAAAATGCCATGCATATAAAGGGCCTAAGATCTGGAATTCATTGCCTGAACATACAAAAGGGCCCCTGCTGCCTGCACACCAATTCAAGGCTCTGCTTAGAAATCACCTCATCTCCAAAAATTAACAACACAAACACTATATTATAGCCACCAACTCAAAAATTTCCAAATTTTGTAAGATTATTTCAAAACTAAAATGGTCTCAATCTCATTATGTAAAATGTGCCAAAATATAATCCTGTAACTTGTTAATAAATTACTTGTTAATTTAATGACTGCTAAACCACTACTACCTCTGTTGAAATATAAAAAGAAATGTTCAATTTGAACCAACTATGATATATATGTCTATTATTAAGTAGTCTATTAAGCATTAAGTCTTAGTCTGCCCGAAATGCCCCGGCATGATAGTGGCTTTCTGTGTACTTAGCAAATCAATATTGTGATTACGCATTGAAAACTATGCAAAGAAATAAAATCCTTAATCCTTAATCTTAATAATCATTCTCACTTGTGAACATAACCTAGACTTTTATCATAAGTTTCTTATCAACTTAAACAGGTATCATTAACATTTGGACATTAAAGAAATACCGTACATATGCAGTACATAGAAAAAAGATTACACTTCTGTCCACAGAATTTAATCAGAATCTCAATTTTCACACTATCACAAAGTCTCAGTATTATGTACAGTACTAGTTGATGACATACAAAATACCCAGGAATTGATAAGGCAGACAGGGACTGGCTGTCTGAGAAATGGGAAAGGTGGTACTCAAGGGCACAGTTGAGAGCTAAAGCCGCAGGGATGTCAGGAAGTATTTCTTAAGTCTCAGGGTGGTAGGGAAGTGGAATGACCTCAGTGAAGAAGTGTTGGAGGCAGACTCTATATATATAGTTTTAGGAGTAGGTACAATATGACCCGTGAGGCTAAGAAAGAGTGAGTCTAGCAAGCAGCAAGTCAAAAGGCAGGGTTAGAAGCTAAGATTCGAGCCGTGCAACCACATGTGGGAGAATACTACTGAGCAGAACTATACTGCTCAGAAGCTGAAAGTGCAGAAAAAAAATTTAAGAATGTATGTAGCTGTAAAATAATACAACTACAGTTGGTATAATAAGGCTGATGCCAAAATTGTGTGCTCATGAAATTTTATACCTTTAGTGTAATAACCAAACCAGCAAAGAACATGTTATAGAACAAATCAGATCATATTTAGAGCGACCTTGAGGCTTTCTGTCATATTCTTTCCTAAAAGAATGCCCCAGGGAGAGGAGATTGGGTATAGTTTTCTTAGATAATGAGTAAACTGACACATTTCAGAACTTACCTTGAATGATTTCTCACAAATTGGACACTCGAGTGGCTCATTATCACTAGCTTTGCTGGCACAAACTTGAATGTGAGCATCTCGGTATCTCTTCTTGGCAAAGGTGGCACAACAAATATGGCAACTAAAGACAGTGTCAGAGTCTTTGCTATGTGAAGACTGCAAGTGACGATACAGAGCACTATGAGAGCTGAATTTGCTCGAACATTCAGGTACTCTGCACTTGTAAGGCTGAATGTTTAGGTGCACCTGAAATTAATGCCTGATGTATAATACATTTTAGAATATATATACAAGGGAAACTTGTTACTATTTACTTTAATGTCTATTTTCAATAGAAAATATGATTTAGTTATTAAAAACATCAGGTGGGGATATACAAGGGGTAACACTGGAAGTTTGAATAACCTACATAGGGAGTAAAGCTGATACAGTGGGATGCCATAGGATTCAGCTTTCATAACAGTGCTTTGTAAGTAGTGTTTGCATTTCAGTTAGTACAGAATTTATGTTTTCCTTTCTATTTCTTCACAGTTAACTGTCATATGTACACTATAGATTGTTCACAGCACTATGATAACTACTTAACCTAGCAAGGTTAAGTAGATAGAGGAAACTGAAATTGCATGATGAGTAAAACCTGAGTATCTAGTTGCACTTGGCAACACACACATACACACACACACACACACACACCACACACATACACACACACACACACACATACACACACACACCACACACACCCACACACACACCCACAACACCCACACACACACACCACACACACACACCACCCACACACACACACACCCACACACACACACACCCACACCACACACACACCCACACACACACACACACCACACACACCCACACACACCCCACACACACACACCCACACACACACACCCACACACACACCCACACAACCATCTCTCCCCCTCCAATAACCATCCTCCCCCTCCCCCTAACAATCTATTCCCCTCCCCCTAACCATCTCTCCCCCTTCCTTCTGTGGTGCAATGGGGCAACCAAGAACTAGGATGAGAGGCAAGGGCCCGACGGACGAATCTGGGAGGGACGATTGGGAGGCAGAGCTCAAAAAAAGGGAGGAAGACTGGGGAAGGAGGCTAGATGAGCTTACAAGGAAGATGGAGGAGAGGTTAGCAGCAGAAAGCAGAAGGTGGGAGCAACATGCCACAGTAGCAGAAGCCAAGATACAGAGATTAGAAGAGGAGCTGAGAAATCTGAAACAGCCTAGAGATAAAGATAATACAGAAGTAGCATCAGCAATGTTTACATCAGACACAGACAAAGGGTCTGGAGGAAGCATGGAAGCTAAACTGTATGCAAAGGTCCTGTCAAACCCACACGGGGCCAAAACAAAGACAGGGAGCACACTAGGACGGTATGAGAGGTTGGAAGACATTGAAGGAACTAGGACATATGCAGGGACTTTACCAGACACTTGTGGGGGCCAGGAGCAGGTGAGCAGGAAGGACAAACCAATGAGCATAGGGGCCACAGCTAGGGAAGGGAGTGAAGGAAGGAACACTCAACAGGAAGGAACTAAAATACCTCAGAGGATGCAATGGGAGTCACAGTGGGAGGTGGAAAGGGAGAGATCAGTTTTTGTCTATGGGCTAGACAAAGCTGAAGGGGAAACCTATGATGAAAGAAAACAGGAGGAGAAAAAAGCGATTGAAGGTATCATGAAGGTGATAGGCGAGGGAGACATGACCCAGGTGGCAAATTTTCGGAGAATCGGGTGGTTCACAAAGAGAAGGAAACGGCCTCTCAAAGTAATTTTCAAGGCAGAATCAACTTGAACCATGATCCATCACGAGAAAGCACGGCTGAGAGGCAAACAGGAGTTCAAGAGTGTGTACCTCGATCGAGACAGAACACAGGAGGAAAGGATGATACTGAAAGAGAGAGTGCAAAAACGAAAGGAGGAATGGGAGGAAATGACAAAGAAGAACAGAATAACCCAGGCACAGGTGGAAGGGCAAGCACACCCCCCAGAAACACCTGCAGAAGGACTCCAACCACGACACCCCCAAGGCAATTGAACAATCTAAGATGAAATTAAGACACATGTGCAACATCTGGGTATCTTTATTGTAGATGTTTTGCCATCCAGTGGCTTTATCAATACAAATTCTAGGACATAACTTGAAGACAGTAGGACTATATACAGAAGACGAGGTAATCAGTCCCTCAACCTTGGAGTAGGTGCAAAGAGCACCGTAGTCGTGGAGATTCTGAAGCAGAAGCAAGGAGCCTGGCGCTTATATACTAACGTCAGGTGTAGCAGACGAGGGCAGTCACTGGCAGGCGGGATTCCCCAGTGGAAATAGGTCCTTCCCAAAGAGATGGGTTAGTTGTAGTAGTAGTTGTTGTAGTCGTGAACGTTAAGTATATGTCCTGACAAGTTGTGCAAGAATGGTATGTAATACCGACAAGATGAAATTAATTTAATCTTGTCGGTATTACATACCATTCTTGCTGAACAATCTAAACCAGCAATCACACACCGATCCCTCTGTTCCCACCCCCCGCACCACGAACTCTACCCCTACAGAAACCCCCTATGGGAACCCTTCCTCCACCTCCACTGCAATCCCCCCACAGACCCCCACCAGGGCTCCTGCTCTCCCAACCCCAGTATTCCCCCAGGACCACAGTTACAGTATTAGAACAGAAGTTGAAGGTTTGGTACACAAATGCAGATGGATTAACGAATAAATATGAAGAGTGGCAAGAAAGAATCAATGAGAAGTCCCCAGACATCATAGCAGTTACAGAAACAAAACTCACTGAGACAATAACAGATGCAATCTTCCCACCAGGATATCAGATCATGAGGAAAGATAGAAGGGGTTGCTCTACTCATAAAAAAATGATGGAAATTCGAGAAAATAGGAGGCACAGACGAGACAGGAGAAAAGGACTACATAGTAGGCACACTTCAGTCTGGGGAGCACAAGGTGGTCATTGCAGTGATGTATAATCCACCACAGAACTGCAGGAGGCCAAGAGAGGAATATGAAGAGAGCAACAGAGCAATGGTGGACACACTTGCTGAGGTGGCAAGAAGAGCTCACTCGAGCAGAGCAAAGTTGCTGGTTATGGGTGATTTCAACCACAGGGAGATTGACTGGGAAAACCTGGAGCCACATGGGGGGCCCGAAACATGGAGAGCCAAGATGTTGGATGTGGTGCTGGAAAACCTCATGCACCAACATGTTAAGGACACTACCAGAGTGAAAGGGGAGGACGAACCAGCAAGATTGGACCTTGTGTTCACCCTGGGCAGTTCAGACATTCAGGACATCACATATGAGAGTCCCCTAGGAGCTAGTGACCACGTGGTTCTGTGCTTTGAATACATAGTAGAGTTGCAAGTGGAGAGAATAACAGGAGTTGAATGGGAAAAGCCAGACTATAAAAGAGGGGACTATATAGGCTTGAGGAACTTCCTGCAGGAGGTTCCGTGGGACAGAGAACTGGCAGGAAAGCCAGTAAATGAAATGATGGAATATGTAACAACAAAATGCAAGGAGGCAGTGGAAAGGTTTATTCCCAAGGGCAACAGACACAATGGGAAGACCAAAACGAGCCCCTGGTTTACCCGACGGTGTAAGGAGGCAAAAACTAAGTGCAATAGAGAATGGAAAAAGTACAGAAGGCAGAAAACACATGAAAATGGGGAGATTAATCGCAGAGCCAGGAACGAGTATGCACAGGTAAGGAGGGAGGCCCAGTGACAGTATGAAAATAACATAGCATCGAAAATCAAGACTGACCCGAAACTGTTGTATAGCCACATCAGGAGGAAGACAACAGTCAAAGACCAGGTGATCAGACTGAGGATAGAAGGTGGAGAACTCACAAGAAATGATCAGGAGGTATGTGAGGAGCTAAACAGGAGATTTAAGGAAGTTTTTACAGTAGAGACAGGAAGGGCTCTGGGAAGACAGCACAGAAGGGAACATCAAGAGGGAATATACCACCAAGTGTTGGATGACATACGAACAACCAAGGAGGAGGTGCAGAAGCTGCTAAGTGACCTTGATACCTCAAAGGCGATGGGACCGGAGAACATCTCCCCGTCGGTCCTTAGAGAAGGAGCAGAGATGCTGTGTGTGCCCCTAACCACAATCTTCAACACATCCCTTGAAACTGGGCAACTGCCTGAGATATGGAAGACGGGAAATGTAGTCCCCATATTTAACCCTTTGAGGGTTTTCGTCGTACTAGTACGTCTTACGCGTAGGGGTTTTTGACGTACTAGTACTCATAAATTCTAGCGGCCTCAAATCTAGTGGGAGAAAGCTGGTAGGCCTTCATATGAAAGAATGGGTCTATGTGGTCAGTGTGCACAGTCTAAAAAAAATCCTGCAGCACACAGTGCATAATGAGAAAAAAAAAACTTTTACCATTTTTTTTGAATAAATCAGCGACTTTGCAGTGTATTTTCGTATGGTATTTATTGTTGTATTCTAGTTTTCTTGGTCTCATTTTATAAAATGGAAGATATATTACAGAAATTGAGATGATTTTGACTGGTTTTACAAAGAAAAGTGCCTTGAAATTGAGCTCAAAGTAGCAGAAATGTTCGATTTTTACCAAACTTCAAAAGTAAACAAATCGTGCCAAGCGTGCAATACACGTCAACTGGTGAGTCTAATATTCTTTCACAAGTGCACCAATAATATTTATACCATTTCTTACACTAATGCAGTAGTCTGCATAACAGTAAATCTTCTATTTTTTGTGAGAATAAAAATTCAAAGTGGAAAGCAAAAGAATATAAGAGGGGCCTTGAGACCGTGACTAATGACCAGAGGAAATGTCATTTTAGTGCCAGGAATGTCTTTCTTGTTTATTTTTGGACCCTATTCGAAATTGGCATCTTTTGAAATTTGTGTGAAATTGGCAAAATTGCTAAATTCTGACCACTGTACTGGATAGTTGAATTTCATAAATGAGTGGTTTCTTGCACCCATTCGATAGAAAAAATGGAGTTCTAGCGAAATATTCATGTTTTTTTTTTCGACTAGTACAGTGAAATTGGCCGAAAATGGGGCTCAAAGTGGGCAAAATCGCCGATGCGTAAACATCGCCGAGACCGCTAACTTTGCAAGAGCATAATTCCGTAAGTTTTCTATCAAATTTCAAACTTTTGGTGTCTTTATGATCGGGAAAAAATTCTCTATCTTTTCATAAGAGAAAAAATTTTT